AAGTATCACAGGTTCCAAAAAAATACTAATCAGCAAAGTTTCCAACATTGACAATAAATCAAACAATATGTTAATAAATCAGAATGATTTCTGAAGGATCATGTGACACTGAAGACTGGAGTAATGGATGATGAAAATTCAGCTTTGCATCACAGGAATAAATTATATTTTACAGTATATTAAAATAGAAAATTGCAATAATATTTCATAATATTACTTTTTTTTCTTCCATTTTTGATCAAAAAAGTGCAACTTTGATTAACATAAGAGACTTTAAAAAAAAAGCATTAAAACTCTTTCTGATCCCAAACCTTTGAACAGTAGTGTGTGTATATATATATATATATATATAGCCTATACATTTTATTGTTTATTTAATTAATTTTTAATTAGCCCTAATAATTTAATTAGCCCTATTTTGAACCCTATTTACGAAAAGTGCATCAAAGTGAGTAAATATGAGATATTATCATGGGTAGAAAAGTCAAAGCAAGAACAAGTGAAGTGAAGCAAAAATATGCAAAGCATTAACCAAAGACACAAACCAACCCGACCTGAACCATTGTCCCAGTAACCACCACTGCAGTAGGGAGGGGATGGGTCACTGTCATGGCGACCGTTGCCGGGGCGATAGAGACAGCCACCGTCTCTAACTGCTGATTGCTGATTGGGGAAGGCTGGGCCATGGGGTCGAACGCCGTGGGTATGGAGGCAGGTATAGACAGCTGGAGGAGGGAAAGAGGGATGGTCTGCCTCTCCACTCGTGCTCCGGCCTTGCTTCCATCTATTTTCTCTCTAGCGGCTCTGTCCTTCATCTTCACTCCAGTGTGGACAGACTGATGACGCCGCAGGTTGTAACTGTTCTTAAACTGCTTGTTACATATGGAGCAGATGTGTGTAGGTCGGGCTGGTCGAGTGACTGGCTTCACTGGGAAAGAGAAAAAGAGAGAGATGGTATTCATACACAGGTGTAGTCTATTTGTCGCAAACAAACACCTAGACTCAAACATGCTATGCTGTATTAAAAAAGCTTCTACTTGAAAGCAGTAATTACAATGAGATGTGAAATCACATGGGCAATTTTATTTTTCTTTTCCCTACTGACAAAAACAGGAAACTTTTTAGCACTAATGCATCACAATAATGTGCCAAAAATGCACATTAGTTATGAAAACCGACGCTTTATCTGTGTTTTTATCATTCTCTTACCATTAGAGAACTAAGCATGTTTTATTGCTATTCTTCATCAGGACTACATGAAATGCATAAAAAATGGCCTAATTTGCATTGATCCTGGAAAAGTTTTTACCCTAGGGATTTGAAAAAGATTCTGGATCACAGACTTCTAAGCAGCTCCGACATGAACCACATCATAAAAACCTTAGAAAACACAAAGGTTTTGAAAAGCTGGAGAAAAAAGACGATGATATTAGCATGTGTATGTCTGTGATGAGCTACTCAATGAACTACACATCCCATGCAGCACAGCATTATAAATTGATAGGAACAGTCAAATGTATAAATATAGAGTAGCTTGAAAGGGCAGCAGGAGTGTTACAGTATTTATTATTACATTTATTATTATTATATATATTTTTTAATTATTTATATATTTAATATTAATATTTAATAATATACTATCAATATATATATACACACACACACACACACACATATAGTTTTATTTTATTATATATTTTTACATTTGTCAGTTTTAATTTAGTATTTTTATTATTTTAACTTAAACTTATTTTAGTTGCCAAAGCAGCTTTTCTAATTGTCATTGAAGTTTTTGTTTTAATTATTTTAATACTTTCATCTATTATTAATCATTTAGTTTATTGCTTTATTTATTGATTTATAATTTACTTAATTTTACAATATTGCTTTATTGTAATGATCGGTTTTTATTAGTTTTAGTTAACAATAACAGCACTGGTTCATTAACCCTGTTTCTGTTTCCATGGATACAGCAACTTCTCTGAATGGTGAATCCCTCTTCAGGTATTGTGGGTAGTGTTGTTTTCTGACAATTAAGCAGGATCACTAAAATACATTAGTTTATAGAGAAAATTAATTACATTTTGACTTCTGAAACCCTGCTGAAATTCCAACATAGCGATCCCGTTCATGTGTTGATCTTGCAAATTTGATCTTTCCAACAGGCTTCGAGGGCAACAATAGAAGAGAGAATACATGCAGGCATCCTAAATTATATTAAAACTTTATGCAAATAACTGGCTCATTAACACCTTCACTGATTTACATCCCTCTCCAGCCACTAATGCAAACAGCCTAACCTCGGTTCTCTTTCCAGTCCCCAGTGAACTCCCTTCCCACCCTCCCGTTTTGGCCCTCCCTCACCCGGTACGGGCTCCTCGCTCAGCGCCGCGGTGTCCACCGTGGATGGGGGCGGGGCTATGTGCTCAGGGGGCGGGTCCTGAGCGGCATCCGTGAGCTCTGGGAGAAGATCTGATTGGAGGGTCGCGTCAGTTTGGGACTGTGAAGGCGGAGTCTGTCGAGAGAAGGGGCAAAATCACAGATTTAAACATCCCTTTGCCTTGTGAATGAAAGTACACCGGTGCCATTATAGACAAAATGCTAGCGATTATGACATGAATTTAAACTAAATGACTAAAAAGCTATCAGCATTAGAACGCATAAGCATTTTCTTACCTGAAAGAGGAAATTGCTCCAAGCTGCATCCATCATGACGTGTAGAACAGTACAGACGCCGCTTGAAATAAACTAATCGATTTTTTTTCTCCTAATGGACGTCTCCTTCCACTATCTTATCAAATCTACATAATAAAAATGTAAAGCTACCAAATATAAAATGACAGTGAAATTTAAAAAGTGAAAGAATGCATATATTACACGGACACTGATAAATATATATTTTTCTAAAATATTTCTAAATAGTACAAAATAAGAAATGACAGCTGTCAGTCACAGTATGCTATTAACGCCGCATTGTCACATAACAGTGGCTTACCATGCTTAAAAATCTAATATAAAATGAATTTCTGCATGTAATGTTTTCTTATTAATTAGACCGCTGTGTAATAATTCATGCAAAAATAATAGAATTCAAAAGGCAGTTTAATGTTTCATTTGCTCGCATGGCGTGGTTAAAAAGAATGCCATCAATTTTATTATAAGATTCCCCATCCAGGCCCGGAGCGGCATCTGCGCGAGCCTCGGCGTTGCGTTAAATCTCATTCGCGTCTGGCGAGCGCTTCACCGGTCGTCGTCCATGGCTCCGCCTCGGCATTTCAATCGAGAGGATGACATTTTTTCCTTTTTTTCCTGCAATACTCTCACCCTCCCACCCTCGCTCTTTCTTCCTTTTCTTTTTTTATCCCGTCTTCTCTGCCCCGCTATCTCTCCCCCACCGCCGTGTCCCCCTTGATTTAAAGGGATAGTATATTTTGAGTGAACACCCCCTCTGTGTCTTCGTCCCCTCCTCCACGCGATGTTCTCGAGCGCGGTGTCCTCTCGCGCCCCTCCGGCGCTCGAGTTCGGCCGACGCAAATTACAGCATAAACATCGAGATCAGTTAAAAGAAACCATCCGCGCGTTCTTCTCCAAAAACTAGCCCTACAACACAAAGATTCTTGGCGGTAGACAACTGGATGTTCGTATGGGGCAAAAAATGTCGCAGGTCCTTAAAGGTAAAGACGCACGCAGACGCAGCTGCGGTAAATAATAAGCGGCTCCAGATCACTGCCGATAATAATTGTACGCGCCCAATGGGATTTAACACATATCAGTCAGATTCACGCCCGACTGACAGTTCTGGGCTCCCAGTGCGTTGCTTTTTGAGTCTCACAAAACGTTCTCAGAACAGAACACTCCTGCATTTTGAAAGGAAATAGAACGTTTGTTTTAGGCTGTGCGTGGAGCTTCAGAGAACGTTGCTTTAACGTTCACTTAACTTCTCTACAACATTACACCAGCAGCACAAAACAGTCTTATTTTCATGCATTGTAGAATTAGCCATTAAAATAAAACCAAAACGCCATTACACATAATATGCAGGATTAAATTAATTAAACGTTCTTGAAATAATATCACCAGTAACAGCTGCATCTGGGTGTCAGGATATCTTTATTGTCAAATCATCAGGATACAGTACAAAAGGACTTTTCTCCACAATCATATAACTCTAATATATTTCTGATCATTTATAACAACAGCTGTAAAACTTCAGACAGCAAACAGTATGTCTACCCCTCTACCACAAACCAATAATACATTCAGAAGGCTATGGACGAAAATGATGCCAGAGCCACTTGTTTAATATAATAATGGCTTCACACTCTTCAAATTAATATGCAAAGTTCTTTGATATACCTGCAACAAAAACAGCAATCTAATAAAACAGTAATAGACAGGCTCATACAAAGAGTTCAAACATAATTCACTATCACAAGCAATGATAAAACAACGGGCAAATACAGTAATACTCGAGTGGCTTTCAGTTGAAGCGTGGAATGTGCCTGTCTATGTGTGTGTGTGCATGTGTGGAAATGTTGGTTTTAAATAGCAGAGCTATTCTAAATCCCATTAAAATTATACATAATTATACCATTAACAAATAAATTAACCGTCAAAAATAACAATTATTATTATGATAATTGAAATATATACTTACATTTCACTGCTGGTCATATATTCTCTATATAACCATGTATGTGACACATAAAAATCTTGAATCTTGAATGATGACACCCCAAAGATGACATAAACATGGTACACTCATAGTGCAACTAGTTCCATCAACAGAAATAAAAAGCCCATCTACAGGAATATGGATAAAACTCGTAAGGAATTTGCCCTGGCATTATAGCGTTGATAATCTATAATCAAATAAATATAAATGCTCAGTGAGGCTTTGCAAGGTCCCATAATTGATTTCCATGATCTCATCCTCATCTATACTGGCCAGCGTTCTTATTTCAGCTGATCTCTTTTGCACGGCCTTTGTCTCATTTTTATTGTTTTCTGCATACTCTCATGTCTCACTGTGCTTTGCTCCGCTCTCTCTCACGGTCAGCCACATCGGTAGCAGCCATGTTACAGGAGGCGGTGATGAGGTGGAGGAGACTAATGCCCGACTTCAGCACACAGACCACGCCACAAACTCCCAGCAGCCACTGCAGCCACACTGCGCAAGAAAAAATTGCAACCGATATTTAAATCAAATATCATTTATATTATAGCATTGCTATAGTGCATCCTTATGAGGACTACTTAAATGAATAAAAGTGCAGCAGCACTTACTAGTTGCTGAGGTTATATAACACAAAGTATAATGTTATAAATATAAAAAACATCACAGTCTGTAAAAATAGTCCATTATAAAGACAGCGAGAAGCAGCCTGCTGATACTCACCCTGGGGTTCCTCAATGTAGTACATTATATACAGCAGACAGAAGAACAGCTCGTTCCCCATACACATGAAAAACAACACCGGCTGTGGAAACACACTGATGTCAGAACAGCCTGTACATGTAAACTTCTTCACTAGATATGCATGCTTCAAGAACATCTAAAGAAACTTCTGACTGTGTGAATGAATGTGCATGAGTGAGTGTGTTACCCTGGATGTGTAGTACAGCCTTAAGATGGGGTTGCCAGAGAGGTCAATGGTCTTGTGACTGGTGGCTCCCTTCATCATGGAACTGAAAGAAACGGAAGGAACAAGTCATATTATTAACAATGATTTATGTAGAACTTACAGGTAACAGATACTTAAATACAGTAATTAAACAATAAAATCTGATTCTAGGGGCCTGTGGAGATCCATGAAAGTACTCCAGGGGCTCCATGGAGAAGACAAAATTTTACTGACAGTTCAGATTTTTTATTAACATTAACTAATATTCTGACATGGATCATATAATAGTGTTAGTTACTGATTTGAATAAAGTGTTATAAGGAAAATCTAGCTAGCTGAGAGATTGTGGGTTCAAAAGTGTCATGATAAAACGGAAATAGCGGCAAATAATTTTTTCCTTATTGTGAAATTATCGAAAAAAGTAAAACATCTAGGGCAGGGACTTGGTTCTATCAATCGACTGTTAATTGGATTAAGACAGATCTGAATAGGAGCATGCAGACTATTGCAATAAAACTGCAGTTGTTTATCAGTAGATGTATATTAGAAATGGGGGAGCTTTTAATTTTGCATTTTCACTGGAATGAAAAGCAGACTGCAATTAGCAATTAGACAAGTGAAGCGTGCGTCTGAGAGCTATGTGTGGGGGTGGCAGTGGTGTCCCATGTTGCACAGTCTAGGCAAAATGACTATGTAGCCTATGCCAGGATCTGCCTCTGATGGATGATGCTTACCAATTTGGGATGAGATAATCTGTAAACATGAAGAGAGATTTCTACAGACCCAAAGGCTTTCTAGAGTAACAGTAACAGGAAAAAGGCAATGAAGCAACACAAGTGATGCCGGTACGTCACATGACAATGACAACATGACAAAGGTAGTACATCCAGATTACATTCATTCTATATATAGACCATGCTTTTTAATGCAGCCCCTATTTCAAGCATTTAACCAAAAACTGTTCACATTGAAAACACATTGACTTTGGGATGATGGGACCAGAAATTCAAAAATGCCTCATTTTCGGGATTTAGGACTCATTCCTGCGGCACTCTATTGGATAAAAGATGTTTTGGACACACCTGTGCAGGTGCAGCCAGTGGCTGGCCACGTCCAGACACATGCTGAGCTGAAACAAGAAAGTGTAGGATGGGTACAGCAGTGCCAGGTTCACCAGCAAACACATGGTCGCACAGCGGTCTGTCAACATGTCCAGCATGGCACCAAACTTTGTACCTAAGAAAGAGGCAGGGATGGGCATAGAAAGAGAAAAGCACAGAATGAGGAATAACGTACAACACAAAGCTGAATATCTCTACCTTGATTAAGAGCGCGGGCTGCGTGTCCATCGAAGGCATCCAACAGGGCACTCAGTAGGTAACAAAACACTGCCGGGCCCGGGCAACAGGGCATCAGGTAGAAGGATACCAGAGCCAGTGCAATACGGGCATATCCTATTGAAAGTGTGGAAATTAAAGATTCAAAGGGATTATGAGTGCACATGTACAGATGAACATAACATGGGGACAAAAATATATTTATCATGGCCACAAATTAGGAATTTGTTCCCTCATTTTACCCTCTAATTGGTAATACAAAGTTTTGATTTCATTAAAAGTAGGGAAGAATTTAGTACAATGTGGCCCCCGATTTACTAAAACAACGAGGGAATGAATTTAGAAGTCGTAGGAACAAATTCTTAATTTGTAGCCATGATTTAAATAAAACAAGGGGACTAATTAATAAGCCATGAGAACAAATTCTTAATTTGTGGCCTCAATATAACTAAAATGAGAGAACTAATTAATAAAACAAGGGAACAAATGAATGCAACGTGGCCATGATTTACTAAAAAGAGGGAACAAATGAATAAGTTGTGGCCCCGATTCAACTAAAACAAGGAAATGATTTATAAAACATGGGAACTAATTGTTAATTCGATTTTTTGATTAGATTTTGAGATGTGCCTGTTGCACTCAAAGGTTGAGTGAGATGAAAACAAACATGAAGGGGCGGAGTTTAAGCAGAATAAATTATTTGATAAGTCCTGCATGTGTCATCATAGAGAAGTCTGTCGTTTATCAGTTATGACAATTTCATTAAACATTACTACCTTAGGTCAAAATATGTTGACAACAATATATGCACAGATAAACTGTTTATAATAAGATCCATAATATGCTTTTAGACAATAAATGGTGTGAATTTTAATTTCATACCGACTTTAATCCTCTTTATATACTACATTGATAGTATATAATGTTCTCTATAGATCATAGAGTATTGACAGCTAATGCCGAGTTCACACTGCACGATTTTCAAACTCGTCGGATCGCCGTTGTTTTCACACTGCGTGACTATCTGGGGTAGCATTCAGTTGTTGCTGTGTTCACACTGCAGGATGGATCCGCGACAGGGGGTTACACACTGCATGACTTCACAATAGGAAGAATCGCCGACAGCTCTGTCTGGTCCGCAAACTACCTTTCACAACAAAACACACGCGAGAAGTGATAAGGAAATAACGCGAGAACCCGCGTGCGTCAGACCGGAGTTCTCGAGCGAGACTGTAATTATTTAAAAAAAAAAATATATATATATATAGCCCGCAAATTGTCTGGCATTAGTTAACCTTAACTCTCTCGGTTGGTACTCACCGATCAAATTCGGGACGAACAGGAAGATGTTTTCTTCGGCCATGCTAACAAGCGTTTTTGTTTGGACGGAGCAGCCTGAAATGTTCTCTTCTAGGTTTCTGTTTCTGTTTCCCTCTTCAAGCACCTCCGTCTGCTGCTGGAGGACTGTGGCTGTGCGTGGCGCGTGACGTCATGTTCCCTGTGCGCGCACGCGCACGCCGTCAGAGGAATCCTCCCCTTTAATTGGCACGCGCTCTGTGCTGTCACTGAACGCATCACATGCCACGCTGACCCCAAATCAGCCGTGTGTCAATGACAGCACTGTGAAAGTGTGGGGGATGATCATCTCAACTGAAACACGGTTTTTCCACAAATTTGCACTATAGTACTTTACTTTTTTGACTGCTTTCATATCGATCTATCTATCTATCTATGCAAGCAATGTCCATTAACAATGGTTTTATAGGTCAATCAGTTAGAAAAGCTTCAAATTAAAATTCTGAATTGCAAAAATATGCATGTTCAAGGGATAATATAGTCAGTAGGCCATTAGTGCTAAATAAATCTGAATATGGGGCATTTATTTTGTATTAAGCGGTCTATAAACCTTAACATAACCATTACAGAGCATTGCATAAGTTCTTATATTAAGCCAAGTTATTCACTGGTAATCATTTTCTAGTTCTTTTATTAAAGGGGTCATATGATGCGATTTCATTTTTTCCTTTCTCTTTGGAGTGTTACAAGCTCTTGGTGCATAAAGAAGATCTGTAAATTTGCAAAGACTAAAGTCTCAAATCCAAAGAGATATTCTTTATAAAAGTTAAGAGTTAGCCACACCTACCTAAAACGGCTCGTTCGAACACGCCCCCACATATCTACCACACTATGTGGGAAGATTTGCATAACACCGCCCAAATGTTCACACAAAGA